GGGGGGGGGTTAGAGGTCAGAAATGCGCTGTGGCGCCCAGAGGCACTTGGCGAGGGAGGGGCACTAAGGGGATACTTGAGCCCCCCCACTCAGGGGAGGGAACCTGGGATGTAGCAGCCACCTCAGCCTTCAGAAAGGCCTAATTTCTGGGCAGAGGGGGCTAAAGCTTTCTTTGGGGGCTAGACGGCTGCAGGAATAAAGGCATCCCGACAGAGAGGTGTAGCAATGGCAGCCTCCCCTCACGATCTGGGCAGAAGGGTGCGACAGTCTGGCTGCTGGGCACGAGGTCTGCACTGCCCTCCATGCACGGAAAGGCCAGCTGTGTCCACACAGGCTTTTGGGCATGACAATGGCTGGCATTATTTGAAGTAGGCGAGGGCAAAGATTTGGAGAGAAGACCGCAGTGGAAAATGGGTCCTTGGGGAAGGCACAACTCCAATTTAAACCCAATCAAAAGGATGTGCTTGGGGTTTCCCCCACTATTCAATACGCAACAGTCACTTGAAGGGAAGGGAGCACTGCAGCTCCGGCGCCTCTGGAGCCCCACCGGCCGACTCTGGGGAGACGGGAAATACATGTGATTTGGAGGAAGCACTTGGATAGATCTTTGGTTGCTTCAGGGAAGGCTTTGGCCCCTTGAAATTCGTTTTTCCCCCCTCATGGGATTGTTGGGGTAGGCATCAAAGAAGGCAGGCAGGAAAGCAACGAAAAGGAGGTGGGCAGCGGCAGGAAGAGCTAATCCGACCAGTCGTCCTCATCAAACTCGGAGGAGTCGTCTTCTGAGTCGCTGTACTCGACAGCAATGCGCCGTGACAAGATGGTGGCCACATCGTTGCCCACGACATCCCGTTTTTCTTGTTCCCGCTGCTCCTCCACCTTGCGCAGCTGAAAGCCTGGTGGGAGAACAGAAAAGGGTTATGAATGGGAGTCCTCATTCTTCGAATCCACCCAGGCTAAGGAGGGGGAGTGGCCACTGTTGGGGTGTGTCCTGGACAGGTCAGAGAAAAAGGAGCATTTTCTGTGAGAGCCAGGAGAAGGGGGAAATAGAAAAGATGAGGTTTCATGAGACAGAGGCCCTAGTCCTATAGTCAGGGTGCCTGGAAGGAAGGCTGCCGTGGCCCGTTTCCACGCTCTTGGGCCACAGAGGATGGCACCTTCAGGGGTGGGGTGGAGGTACCACTGCAGCCCACTTCGGGGCCCTCGGCCTGCTCGACCCGTCCACGGGGTGCAGCCCCGCTGCCCTAGCAGCTCCCTGGGGACCATGAGCAAAAGCAGCCACGCTAACCCCTCCAGACCAGACTCAGAAAAGCAATAAACACTCCATGAGGGTGAAACAATTGTGAGGGAGGGAAGAGAGGAAGAGAGGAGATGAAGCGGGAAGGGAAGGCAGAAAGGGCTGAGGAAGGGGGGGAGATCGTGCTGAGGAAGGATCTGAAAGGCAAAAGGTGCTGGACAGGAAGTAACGAGTAACCAGTAACCAAGTAACGACTGCTGCTGGAAGCACTTTGAGGACAGTGGCTCCTGGTTTTCTCTGGCACACAGAACCTACTTTAGAACCCGATGATAAATGAAGATGTTTCCTCAAGAAAAAAATGGCAGCAAACACATAAGTCCTAAATCCAGGGTTCAAAGATCCCAGGTTAAGAATCCTCTACTTTAAATTAGGTTTTCCTTATAGGAGGAATATAGGGGAACAAAATAAAGGATCGGGAAAAGAAATAGTAACAAATAAATAAACTAGCAGGCAATTATAAATCAGAGACATTCTGCAGAGGAAGGGGACAGGGATCCAAACGGGCGGGAAGAGCACAAACGACTATGGTGTGTTCACTGGAAAACTGCCGTGGTGGGAAATTTACAGGGACCACACATGAGAAGAGAAATCAAGCATCATACAAAATGACCAGCTTTTACACACACACACACACCCACACCCCCCCCCCCGGCCCGGAACCCCCCACTGGGACTTACCTTGACGAATGGCTGAAAGCAAGTCGCTGCGAGCATCACTCACAGGCGGCAAGGACGACTTGGGTTTGGTGGCATCCGAAAGTGGGGGTGGTGGTGCAGCAGGTTGGCCATCTGCACCACTGAAAGGGACAGGAGGGGGTCCCGGAGGAGGGGGAGGAGGAGGGGGGGGAGGGGCTCCTCCCAGTGACTGGGACAAGGGAGGAGGTGGCAGGGTGGGATAGTCAGCTGCAGGTGGCGGGGGAGGAGGGGGAGGGGCAGCAAAATCAGGGTGAGGTGGGAAGGACGGGGGTGAAGGTGGTGGTGGGGTCCCTGGAGACCCAAATCCGCCAGGTGGTGGCGGTGGTGGGACGCCCACCATTGGGGGTGGAGGTGGAGGGGCAGGTGGTGGGGCAAACCCAGGTTTGGGGCCTGGAGGAGAGGTCAGAGGAGGAGCTGGTGGTGGATGACTTGGGCTGACCACACTGGATCTTTTGGGTCCAACCAAGCCAGACCCTCTTTGGTTGTCTCCCGTGTAGCTAAAAGGACAAAGAAAAAATGACAGTCACTCTCAGGCTACAGGCGTCCACCTATAGTCGGGCTTATCTACAACCCTAGGGTCCATTTTGGTCAACTTATCTTTCTACTTTGGCTCAAACAGAAAGAAAAACCTGGCAAAGGTCAAAACACACCAACAATAAAATGGGCAGCCTTGTCAGGTAATGAGCCTCCCATCAGCAGAGGTGTGTAAAGAGACATTGAGAAAAACTACCTGGAAGACGTGAACCTGGCATCCCTCTATCCGGTTAAGAGCTGGCCACGGCCACCTCCTATGTCCCCCTCACACCTGACAGCTCTCCAAGGGAAGGGCCAAGCCTGAAACCTCTCTGGAGAGGAATGGTCAGTTTAAGGCCAGCATGAAGAATGCACACAAAGAAGTGGAATAAAAAATTCTACCACATCCAGCCACCGTGCTCTGTACCTCACACTATTAACATTCACCAGATCTTGCTGAGGGCAGGAAATCCTCACAAGCCAAGCCAACCAAACCTGAGCAGGGTACAGAATTAGGTGAATGCACTTTCAGTGTTCATGTGGAAAAACTCAAGAAACAATGAAGGTCTGAGGGTCAGGAGAGACAGGAAATGAATGTGCCATCAGACTTGACCCAGGAGGAGAGAAGATTAAGGTGCACCTCTCCTGAGTGAGGCATGCTCGGCTGTGGCTATAGGTCTCAGGCCATGTGTGAAGCTGAAGGGCCTCTTGTTCCACCTTGTATCAGCTCTGCACTAATAACTCCTCCTTAGAAAAGCATCCATCTTGGAATTTTCCACAGACCTTCAAACCTTAGCTACAGCTGACAAGACAACCAGCAGGAAGTGATTTGGGAGGCAGAGGAGATCTGGGATTTCAAGAACCAAGAAGAATGGGGTTGAGGGGTGGGGGTAGGGGGGCTGCTGTGCCACTTTAGGTTTCCACTGGAAGGGTCCTCAATATGCCCACTCCGATTAAACAGTGCTGAAGGAGGAAAGTGTACCTTTCAAAGCTCTCATCAGAAAGGGAAAAAGATAACTGTAAGGAAACACTGAAATCCAAACAATCCTCAGGTTTCTTTTAGCCCTCTCTTGCTAACTCTTCCTCTTGCTAACTCTGCTAGGGGCACTGACAAATATCAAAACGGCTAAGTCTTCCTTATTTTTCTTTTGTTTTATTCTTTCAGGAGACTTTCTCCAGCAGTGAAATGAATCAGAAGCAAGAGGAGAGCAAGGTGACAGTCTGCTAGGTTCCTAGACAACTGGGCAAAGTTTCTGCTACGTATTTTACAGGAAGCAGATTATACTACTTCATTTCATACTGAGTTAAAGTTACAGGGAAAAAAAGTGAGAAGTTGGAGCCTTCTATCTATAAACACAGGCTGTGAGATCAGGTGGTTGGACGTGTTCTCCAATCATAGCTCTGTCTCCTACTAGCTGTGTGACTTTCCGTGATTTCCCTAACCTCTCTGTGCTTCATCATTTACGCATCTGAAAAATGGGTACCAATCCCAAGAGAGTTCTGGGGATTAAGTTAACATGCAGTCTCTTGTCACTTTACAAATACTTAATACATGTTAATTATTTCTATTATCTTGACAGACTTGTCTGACACTATTTTAGTAGGTGTGTCCTGCATTTGGAGTTCTTACTTTGCTCTAGAATGTTTGACTTCCCAGAATAGAAGTGTACCACCATTTACCTGAATTCTGCTGGAGGGGGAGGCAAGCTGTCCTCAGAGAAGGAAGGAGACGGTGGAGAAATGGAGTCTGACTGTGGTGGTGGTGGGTAACTGCCTGCATCCATGTTTTCAGCAGAGCCAATACTGCCATTCTGGTAGGTGGGCAGGTACCTGACAATAAACCCAAAGCCAAAACTGACTTAAAGAGCCTGAGTGATACTCTTGTTTTTCTTAAGAGACCCCCAAAAAAATGTATTAGGGAGAAATAAAGTAAGTTTACCACCCCCTCCCCCCCGCATATATTCTGTTACACTAGAATTTTATTTTAGGACTAAATATATTCTATTCTTAAATATCACTCATATTTCTGCTGAGTTGTTTGCAGAAATGGGATTCAATCCAGGTTATCAAAATCATGCTAGTCCTTTTCCAGTGCTGGCCTTGTCAAACCTAGCAGTTCTTTTAAATTCTCTCCCAAACGTTTGGTGAAACCCATACCCAAATCCCAAAGTCTGTCTTGTGGCAAAGGGCAAAGCCAAGCCCCAAGGCTACTGACTGCAAACACGTGACTGGCACACAGCCTGGTTTTGAGGCTGGCAAGCCTCTGGAGTGCTCAAAGGCCAAGGAGGCATTTGATTGCAAAATGAAGCTGAGGACAAACGCAAGCTGCTATGTGGTAGTTGGACACGGTCTGTCTGCCCGGTCTCTCATCAAACAAAATGAGCTGCTGGCTAAAGCAGGGGTCTAGGGCTTGCCTCAGGAGGACTGTCCCCCAGGGCACTGGGCCCGGTGAATCTGCGCTAGGTGAACAGCAAGTAAGCACAGGCACACCAAGCATCAGGCGGCAGAGCTCGTGGCCTGTTCTACGTGCCCCTGCTTTCTGCTACTGCTGGGTTCAGAGAGAACTGAGATGGAGGGAAATGGCTGAATCAAACGATGCTGCAATGCAGAAAACCAGCCAGGCCTGGAACCCTGTGGGCTCAGCATGTCTCTACAGGCTCACCAACAAGCATGCAGACCCCAAACTCTTGGACAACAGGAGGCTAAGTCCTCACTTTCACTCTCCCTCCCCTTAAAAACATACATGGCAGTTGGCACCTGCACATGCAGGCCCCTGGCCTGTAAGGACGGCCCGTCGAACAGGATGGGGCCACGGAACAAAACGGCCCCTTTTACCAAGAGGTGAAGGTAATGAAGGTACCCTAAGGGCTGATTCCTGTAGAGAGAAAAGTTCATTTTTTTCCTCTCACCATCTTCATCACTCTTTAAAACAAGTCTCTTAATCCAGGAAGAACAAGTGTCAGAAGTGTCAAGATTTTTAAAAGTCGATTTTCATGGTAGAGTTATTCCTAAATGCAAGAAGAACTCAACGCTTTCCTTTCATTATTCCTAGACACCCGGCATGGGCTGGCATGGTACTCTGACAGCCAGGATGCAGTGGATTTAGGGGAGAAACCAGGACGACATTCATGCCAAGCAGTCATAGTGACTTGGCTTTGAATGTCACACAGGTTGGACACTAGGATAATCATCAAACCAAGCTTTAAAACCATTTTTTTCCTTTTAAACTCCAGTGTGATTTGGTATTGGGAAATGGGGTCAGACTGACACCTACTATTTCTCCATGGAGATATATAGCCTCAATCCTGGCCGAGCGACCTTTCCCACACTGTGTCTGAGTTCTGCTCTCAGTCCCTCAGCCAGCCTCTCTCCCGAGACTGACAAAGGCGGACTGAAAAGTTGCTCTGGTGATATACACAAACACCCTGCCTGCCCTCCCCACTCCCCTGAAATGCCTAGCTCTCAGGCATGACCTTCAAATGAATGCTCGAGAGGCAAAGGGCTCCCAAGGCCACTTTTCTTCCCTCTCCAGTTTTTCCTTTGAGGGCCTCAGATATACCAGTGTCTGGCAGGGTAAGGGCACTAGAAGCCACGGGCTTTCTTTTCCAGACCAGCCACCTCATTTAAGCTGCTGAATCTCTTGATTTATTTAGCAAATTTTAATCACCAGATGGATACACTTTAAAGAAGCTGATTAATAGTGGTATTGATCTAACTCATACAGCCAGACTTCAGGGTTGTGAAAGGTGCCACACCAGAGCTGTCAGACAATCGCCCTCAGGGCCCCCATCTCTTCAAAGAATGCTACCAACAGAACACAAGCATCACCTACCCAGAAGGCCCCAGCTTTTCTTTGGATTCCACAAATTCTTGTCCCATCTTCATTTTCTCCCACTCTTCCTTCCGTGTCTTGATTTTACGTGGGTTTACATTCCCTCGATTGGGGTTATCTTTCTTTTCTTTCTATAATGAAAAGAAACAGAAAGGCCTTTGTAAAACATTTTTCAAAGTTCTCCATTAAAATTCCATCCACCCTCATGGACACACACCCAAGAGATAATTTGTCTAGACAATATGAAGCAAGTACAGAAATTATAGAATTACTGAGTTTGGAGTGACTTAGAGATTGTTTAATACACATTCACTCAATCCCCCTCAAACACCTCTAGCAATAGGAGACCTGCTACAATCTTGGGTAGTTTATTCATGTCTCTGAGCAGCTCTAATTGATAGGAAGTTAGTAACTAGCTATTTGTTATTTACTCTGCCACAAAGGTCAGTCAAGAGAGATGAGAAGTAATGACAGCTATAGATATGTGGGACAGATATAAGGAAATAGCTAAAAACAAAACAACCAATGAAAAACTCTTTAGCCTGTCCAGCTGCACTAGCCCCCGGCACTCTCTTGGGCCTCCCAGCGGCCATGCTAATGGGGCTGTAAGGCTGCAGCTGGCTGGGCATACGCTTGCACACACACACCTCTGGGGGCCTAAGGGGAGCGGAGCAACTCCTAAATGTAGGCCTGTGCCCCCACGGCTGCCCCGCCCAGCCAGTAGTGAAGGTGTTAAACTGCTCCTGTTGCAAATCAAACACTATAGAGCCTTGTGCTGATCTCTGAGAAATGAGCTGCAAAACTGGCGGGGAAGGGACTAGCCTAGCTTGAGTGTCCAGCAGAGTCAGGTGCAAATTGCAAGAGAAATAAATGGTGAATAGAAAAGTCAATTTCTAAAACTCAGCCTGAATACACTCAATTGTTAATAGCGCTGGGGGGAACAAACACATTTTTGGTGTGATTTATACTTTCATCTTGGTTGTGCTTGGAGTGGACACATTTTTTTAAGAGTTTCACCTGGCATCCAAGCAAGCAGCCACTCGGAATGATTACTTCACATAAGACTGGCTTCCTTTTTATCCCCCCTCCACAATCGTGCCTACTGATGTGTAGAACAGAGGCCCCTTTCCCCTCACCCTATGCTTTCTCTTCTCTTTCATGATATCCTTGGTGTCCTGCAGCATCTTCTCCTTCCAAAGATCAAAGAAGTACGAAGGGTCTGTGTAGAATTTGAGTGCCTCTTTCCCATCGTCCCTAGGACAGAAATGAAGACAAGTAGCTGTCAGTAGACAGATGAGCTCCCAACCAAATCCAATATTCCAAACACCTACCAGTTAGCAGTTTTTGCACTGAGGAATCAAAAAGTCATTCAAATCGATTGCATATTTCCTCTCCCATACCACAGTTCCAATGCCCCTGAATAGCATCTCTTCACTTAACTGGTTATTTTTAGAACCTTATCCTTACGTACAACTCCTGGTAGAGAAATTTACATGGTTAAGGCAAAAAGAGGCTATAGCAATGGGGATTCTGGTAATTTCTAATGATCTCCATGGCCACAGATAATCTCCATGAAGATATCCTGGCATGTCAGCGATGGTTTCTGTCCCTGGTTCCCTTGCCCCACACCAATGCCCCAGGACCAGCTAAGAAGCATTAGTGACTTCCCACCCACCTGAAACCCGCACACTTCCTATGCACTGTGTGTGTAGAAACATACATGAATGTGTATATGTATACAGCTGTTATTCCTTTGCAAATGTACATAACACAGTGTTTCTACTTTCTTGCTCCCTTCTAGTCCAGCTCAGCAACCCCCCAGACCACAGGGGGGCGCCAGTGAGAGCAAATGGCCAGCTGTTTTATGACCACAAGTTTTAATTATCATCTTGGTAGTTAGGACAGAAGTACAGAGTGAGCTGAGTGTCAACGTGAGGGTTATCTGCCGTGTACACTGATCTTGGCAGGAACCCGGCTCTTTGCATGGCTAGGTCTCTCGCCCTTACCTATATTTAAGGGTGGATTTATTTTAACAACTATTTTGAACTAAAAAGAATGAGAAAGCAATTTCTATTTCCTCGCCTCCAATCATATCACAGCACACAGAAAGCATTTTCAAATCAAACACTAATGATTTTTATACTAAATCTTGACCTATATCACCACCCACTCTGTTAGGCCAAGTCCAGATAACTAAGAGGTGATATTAATTCTGAGAATGTATGTTAAGAAAGAAAATACCATTAACTGCAAAATAAACGTGTCCTAACAGCGTGTGTCTATGCTATCCTAGAAAGAGTGCTACCACTCTTTCTTCCATCTTTTTATTCTTTTTAAAATTTATTTTTACATCATTCTTCATGTTGTTCCTTTTTCCATCTCAGTTGTAATCCCCACTTTCTCCAGTCTTATCAGGTGTGTACTTGCTTCCTGCCCCACAACTACTCAGGTCCAACAAAACAATGGCGGCTGCAGAGTGAACCCTCTGCCTCGCTGTCCTGGCTCGTATTTACACGCCACGAGGCAAACACAATGTCACAGTGATGACACAGCCAGGTACCTTCTGTGTGAGAAGTCCCTGCACCTACCCAGGCTTCCCAAGTCAGGCAGGTGTCCTGGAATTTCACAAACAAATACAGAACTCTGCAGTGGACCTGTGTCTCACAGAAGACATCTACCTCCAGCTATCTGCAATAACTTTCTACCTATTCTAAAATTATTTATGGATGTCAGCAAGAAAAATATTCACTTTCTGCCCCTCCCAGGGGTTTCTGCAGGATAACACTACCAAGCCAGTAGAGGGGAGGAGCTTTAACTTGTCTGTAAGGCTACCTTCTTTTTCAAGTCCAGCCACAGCAGAAAGGATGTTCAAAACAAAGTGAATGACATTCATTTGGAAGAATGCCAATTACTCCCTAAGCCTTAGAAGGACCCTCAGGGCCCAGAGCAGCCAGTCCACCAGGCTGGCCCCGCTAACACGCCCAAACATCTGGTAATCTGGTGGTTTCCGAGTAAGTGGGAGCCTTGCTAGAATGTTGCCCCTGGGATGCAAGCTATTGGACTGCCTTATAACAAAGTCCTTTTGGTTCTATAATAACTAAATTCCTTGGATGGAATCCAAGATGGACCTGGCTTATACCAAATTAAACTCTGCAGCATGCAATGCTCGCACAAACTTTCAATACATATTATATTCATGATGAATTTCACAAGCCAAACCATAGTAAGTGACAACTGTAAATGGTAAAAGTTAACTTCTGCTAATACAAAAAACTCTGGGGGTAGGTAGTAAGCATTTTGATAGGATTCTTGGTAAACAACATTACACAAAAACAAAATCTGGTATTTTTAGCCACAGGCTGAAAAAGAGGGAAGCTGGTCAGGTTACCTGTAAGGGGTAAGATTGTTGAGAGGTGGAGGAGTATCACAGGTATTGTATGTTTCCAAGACAGGTACTGGGAGAGAGTTTCTGTCAAAAAGCTTTTGGTCTTGAATGGTAGAGCTTCTGAAGGCCTTTCGGGTGTTGATTCCTTGTAGTGACACTGAGAGAAGATGGAGGCATTAGAAAATGGACGACAGGCCATCTGAGCAGACACTGAGTCACATAGTCAGAAAGGCCTCAGCTGCCGCGTCTTGGCTGCGGTTGTCTGCAGCCAGGTTTCCCTCCCCTCTGGGGAGCCCCACAAGGCTGTCAGCAGCCCAGCCTTTTCACGACTGAACAAAATGAGGCAACACAAAGGTTTACTATGTGGCCAGATCTAGCAGGCCTCTCCTTTAGGAGGAATGAATCTTCCGAGTACTTTTATGGTAGCAAAAAAAACGATTGGGGGAAGAGGGAATTTGAGAAAGAGAATTGGGGGAATGGGAGACGGAGTGTGTGGGGGTTGTGGTAGAGCTAAAATGGTTCTTTACACCACACCGGCTGTGTCGTTTCAAGCAGAACTCCATAGGTCTCTGTGATTTCTCCCCTCAGTTTTTATAAATCAGGGGAAAAAATCTAGGAAACTGCTCAGCAGAGCCTGCAAGTGCTGAGCTCAGCTTCCTTACCTTCTTCTTCCTTGGGATCCAGCTGAGTGACTTTCACTTGGAGGCGGTCAACCCTCTCAGCAAGTGAGCTTACCCGAGAGGCAAAGGTATTTGCCTGAGTAAAGAGCTCTCCAAAAATGTCCTCTGCATATTTACCTGAAAGAGCAAAGAAACCAAGTCACTAGTGCATAAAAGTGACATAAATGGTCGGACAAAGAGACTACTAAAGATCTTATGCCCCACCTCCCAAACACCCCCACCCCCACAGATGGCTTGGGCTACAGGCAGATGCTTTCTCGCTCGTAGAGATGGACGGGGGGACTCCACAGCCTGGGCAGGCAACACCTGTCCCTCAGCTAGTAGGTGCTTCTTGGCAGACAGCACATTAGTGAAAATCAAAGCAGGATGAATAGGATCAAAAAGTATAATAAAAAAAATTCAACCGGGAAGAGCAGACAATATGTGCATGCTTTGCCTACAGTCCCTAGCTTCTTGATGTTCTCTAAGAGCTTAGTGGGATGGTTGTAGAAAACAGGCTGGGCGTTAGAAAGGCCTTCTAGGTGCTTACAACTAACATGAAGAAATTACACCCTCAATAGCTTCTTGAAAGCATATGAATAACCACGATGAGTTGTGGTATCTTTGGGGCCTTGAACTTATCAACAAATCACAGCATAGACTTACGTAACTTCTTCTAAGAGGTGAAAAGGTTATTTTATGTTTTATAACCTACAACTTTCAAAGTCTTTGCTCTAGGTTACAATCCTTCAAATCCACATCTCGGGGAACAGTGAAAAGCTGAAACTCTCAAGCCCTCCCTGAAAAACAACATGCCAGTGGTCTCGTTCCACAATGTCTTGTTTTTCAGAAAAAGAAAAAGAGTTCCTACTTTCAACCCTGGAATGCAAGGAGAATTTGCAGCCAAAGAGACATAACAGCAATTTGACACTACCTCCATATTGTCATTCCAAGCCACAAAGCACATTCTTGCTAGGAATGAAATGTGGTGCATACAAAAAAACGTGCCATCTGAGTTTCCTACTTTCAAGGTGAAGTAGGCATAAGCAACTTTACCTAACCAAAAGAGCATTTTTTTGAGAACTATGTAAAGTAGGCTCTGATTTTTAGTTTCTAAACTACATTTACGCTTAGTCTACACTTAAGAAAAAAATTAGTCCAAAAGGCCAAAACTGCAAGTGCACTGTGAACTGTAACTCACCTCCGCAGGGTAACCCGGCGAGTCAGGGTAAGACCAGTCAGCTGCACATTTTGAATTACTGGTAAATTTAGTCAACAAGGAGTTTCTAATCAAGGAAAGAGCAAGTCTTTGCATAATGAATGGTTCTGAGATCTAAACAACCATGGCAAATTCCTGGACTCAAATCATTTAATGAGCTGAATTTCGACTCTGCAGGTTAAGGATCCTATCTGACCCCTGTTCCTAATATGGCTAAGTTCCTATAAAAAAAATCCTATATTGCGTGTGTACCCAGGCAGTGAAAACTTGTGATTGGAAGGCTAAAGCAGGAAAACATGCAACATTATGTGCAGAAAATAAATCAGGCTCAAATCTATCTGTGAACCTACTCTAGCTATGGTGGAAGAAAAAAAAACCAAACACCTCAAATTAACTTACCCCGGTCACCTACAGAGTACCCAGGTTTTCTGTGGGGTGGAGGCTCGATGTGGGGCACACTGGTTTTCAAGACAGACTCTTACAAAGAACCCCAGCATATGAAAATGGTGACTCTGAGCATGCTATTTGCAGAGGGAGTGAGGTGCCACGAAGACCCTGCTATCATGTCAGGACCCAGGCGCACTGAGAACCACAAAAGGACATGTGGGGAAGAAGCAGTGGGTGCTGGGCGAGAAAATCTGGATTTTAAAGTTCTTTCTATTTGCACTCTATATACTCTTTAGCACATCACAGTCTCTGAGTCTCACTTTCCTTATCTATAAAATGGGAATCACTGTCTCTACCTCAACAGTCTCCCAGGATTAAATGAACTAAAAATGTAAGTTGTTACAATAAGATCCTTAGGTTGCTCAACCACATTAGATAACTTGTGTTAGTATATCCTGAGTTTAGTGCTTAGTAGTCTCTACTTGTTGAATACTAAGAGCTACTACTATTTCTGAAAACAGAAGCATGATATTTACGGAGGAGAAAGCCTAAGTGTCTTGTTCTGTTAAATTTCATTCATTCATGTTATCAAGAGGGATGCCCTATCTCAGAACATTCATAATAATAGCACATTTTTGCAAATATTCCAGAGCAGTCTTCACGTTTTGTGGGTTTTCCCCCTTTAATATAAGTCTTCGAACAAGATCTTGTGAAGAAGTGGAACAGGCAAAACTCCTTTTTAAACATGTGAAGCTGCTCTCACTGAAGTCTGACTAGAAGTCATGGAGCTCCTCCAACCCCCATTATGGCCGACTGTACTCAGAGAACCCAGTCACAGCGTGGCTTCTTAATGACCGAGAGGAGGGATTCCATCCTCCTCGGTGCTCAGGATACCTAGCTGTTTGCTATGCTCACACTTCCTGAGATAATGGCAAGAGCCAATCTCCCCATACCAAGGGAAAACAAGACTTCTAGATTTTCCATCACTGAATAATCCATGCTGCGGAATTTTTAGTTCATCCCATAATCAGACTTTTCCTACTAGATGGAACACTTCTGGCTAGAGCACAATGCACATGAGATCCAGGATATGAGCTGGAAGTCTTGTGAGCCCATTCCTGCACCCCTTTCTGCTAGAGGAAATTTTATATCATTTTCAAGGTCTAGTTCAAACGTGGCCTCTTCTATGAAGCCTTCCTGATTCTCTATCTCCAGCTGTGCCCCCAGTCCTCACAGACAGTGTTCTTTTTTTCCCTGAATCCTCTGCCGCACCAACATCATGAAATGGTGGAGAGATTACAGGTATAAATTATTCAACACTTACTGAGCTTCTGCTGGGTGCCAGACTCTGTACAGGATAGACAATGGGGTTCAAAGACAACACATGAGTTCTGTCTTCAGAGAACTTTTAATTTATAACTTTTAACTTTATGAGATAAAGATAATTTTGAATATAATGTGACAGGTAATAATGCAGATATACAATGAGAGTTCAGAGGAGTGCTTTGTTCAAACTGGAGGAGAACCTTGAGCTAGGCCTTGAAGACCAGGTATAAGGTTAACAAGGGTTCTCTGGGTAGGGAAAGAAGCCAGGGTTCCCCAGAGGCATGGGAGTATGGTCTGTCTCAGAACAACTGTAAGTAATTGATAACTTATTCTTCTTTCCTTCCCTTTTTCTTTTTTAAAGATTTGTTTATTTATACATACAGAACTGGAGTACAGGCCAAAGGTGCAAGAGCGGTAAGAGAATTCATCAGAGATAGTGGGGAGCAGAACAGGCAGATGTACTGAAATACACTGCTGAGGGGAGCAGTGGGTGAGACAGGAGAGGCCTGCTGCACCATGTGGGTCACCTCCCTGGCAGGAGACTGAACTCATGCAGAAGCTGCTGCGGCCAGCTTCGCAGTGCTACACCTTAACCCACTGCACCACCTGGAAGGGCCCTCCTTTCCCTTTTTTAAAAGATCTGGTAAAAAAGATCATAAAATGTGAGGAAATAGACATCAGAAAATAAGGCTGGAAAAGAAGGCAGATCATGAAGTCTGGAATGTCAGACTAAGGAGTTTAGATGATTCCATAATGAGGAATGGAGATTATTAAGATTTGTATTCTTACTTTAAAAACCCTTTTCAAATGATAATACACACTGAAACATGCAAACAATTCAATTACATAACTAAAAAGTAAGATTTGTGTGTGGGGCAGACCATTCTGGAAGGGGTACAGGTTTAAGATTTATATGATTTTTAGCTTTATACACTGAAAGGGGTTATCAAAGAAAAGGAGGCCACAGGGTAGCCAGGTAGTTTAGGTGAAGAGTCAACATAGGTCTGAACTAGGGAGGGCAGCTTTGGCAGAATCAGAACACTGCGGGTACAGAGCCAAGGAATTCTTAGGACGTCTGAGTTTAAATACTGACTTTTTCTTTTACTTGTTGCCACCTCTAGCCAAATTACCTTATTTTTGGAGCCTTCATGTCTTCATCTGAATAATGGGAACGCCACCATTATTCACCTATCCTCTGAAGATTAAATGAATTCATTTATATCAAGGTTTTATTAAAGTCTGGCAAGAAGTAGGTACTCAACAAGTATGAATTCCCTTCTCACCCTCTCCCTACTCTCCTGTTAAAAAAAAAAAATTTTTTTTTGTCTCTTCTGGTAGATTGTGAGCTCCTGGAAGGCAGAAACCATTTCTTATTACCTCTGTATCCCATCAGCATAGATTATGTTCAATGCATGTTTACTGGATGAATAAACGGTCAGTTAATGTACAATGTGAGAAAATCTTGTTTCTGCCAGGTACCCGCTAACCCTGACACAGACCAGCTTCGTCAAGATAGGAGTGGCCAAATCACAAGTGGGGGAGTGAGCAATGGCACCCATTAACACTACCCTAGAAAAACACCTGAGAGAGAGCATAACTCCTGCTGAGTGAGAATAAGAACCATCATTAGCTAGATGTCCTTTGTCCTATGGAAAAGGAGCCCGTATGTGATTGACTTCCCCCCATTTGGCCTTCTCAGGGTGACAGAAGCAGAAATGATGCTTTTAAGAAGCAGTGAGGCTCTCTGCAGCCTTCATGCGCTTGTCAGCTGCACTGCTGCTGCACTGCTGCCCATGTTCCTTTGTGTAAGACAGGCACTGGCAGGGTTTCATTTCTCCGTGACGCCCCCTCCAGGTTTCCCTAAGCCCTGGATCAACTGATATGGCCTGTGAGCGAGGTGAAGGCTTAGGAGTCTCAGACCCCATACATCATCAGGGCACAGATCTCCGTCTCCTCAGGCCTCCAGTTTAAAGGCAGGGCGTATTACTATCTGGGGGAATGAATGTTTTCTTGATATTCCATTGCCTTCACTAAGGGCAGTGATGCGATAGGAGGGGTGAGTGTCTGAAATAATTCACACCAAGATGCCTTTGCTAAGGAACATTGCTAAAATGGCATTTTGACGGAGGTTCTTATGGGAGCTGGAGTGGCATTAGACAAATGCAAAGTCTATCCAAGCATCTGCCCTTCCCATAGCTCGGCTTCAAGCAAACAAAGTCAGCTTGATTCAGAATGAAATTCAAACCACATGCATGTACCCCACCCAACCCAAGGCAGTCTCATTCATCCTTGCCAATTAAAAAAAAAATTACAGTTGAGCTGGCTTTCCCCCAGCTTCAAAACAGACTGGGCTAACCCCCATCTTCCTCCTGAAGAAGAATGACTCCAGCTACAATTTGTGTCACTATATGTTCACATATCTTGTAAAACTCCCAATACCCCAGAGACTGCAGAAGTAATATGTACCCTGAACTTGGACCTGGGGGCTTGCAGCACAATTAAATGTGTACCAGGCTAGACAAGTCAACCAGAATCTCTCTGAATACATGTTTGCGTTACTCCTCTTTGGGAAGAAGAGGGGATGATGTCTGGTTGATAAAAACTATTGGCACATTTGAGGATTCAATGAAGTCAGGCTACATGGAACAGCTCATGCAATTACAGGCACATTCCCCAACCCAGGATACTGCTCTGTGAACCTCCCACTTTACACACAGAGAATTCTGCTCTGTCATTCCATCTGCAGTTTCTGCTGCAGCCCTTCCTGCCACCCTTCCTACAGATTTCTTTTGAAGCAGGTGGAGGGGGAGGTGGAGGGAACCTGGAGGGTGGTGGTAGATGAAGAAAAGGTTGAGGGGAAGAATCTGCACAGAAAAGAAGCCTCTCTTTTGAGTGTGTGTGGGGGGGCTGCATTTTCACATTACCTAGGGAAGGCAGATGGGGGAGAAATAGGAACACGGGAAGAGAAGGAAACTAAATAAAGAGCACCAACGACCCCTGAGGGCAAAGCACAGGCTCTCTGCGGCACTCACTCAGGCTGCCCAGCTGTCGGATGACATTTGCCAGGGTGATGTTGGTCATGCATTCCAGCTCGCTTCTAACGCTAGGCAACGTCTGACGGCACAGGTGCCTTGGCTCGATGTTCCTCGTTACTAACGGCATGGTGGACCTGCTTCAGGCAATGTTCTGAATGATGAAAAACAACCTAAAAAAGAAATAACAGGAAAGTATTACTCAACCACAAATTCCAGGCACATTGGGGATACGAGAGTCCCTTTTTCTTTTGTCTTGCTCTGATCTGAAACAGCTTTAAAAAATTCTCTCCCCCTATCTTTTTAAAGCCCCCCCCTTTTAAGATTTGTTATTAGAGATTTGCTGGATAAGTTTAGAAATTTGGAACTGGTGTCTGCTGAGGTACACAGACAGCATGAAAACCTTAAAGTAACAATTATGCTCCACCAATAAGTGTCTCCAGAGACAAGGAGAATGGTCAGAAAACTGCCCATTCAGCAGGTCCTGGAGAGGACAGATCCTATCCTTGGGTTGTCCAGAACTAGGACAGATTTGATTCCAGAGGATCAGTTATAAGGATCAAAGAAGAGCTTCTGCTATATGACAATCTCCACAATGAAATTAAGTTGCCAATAGTGATTCCACTGATCTACACCAGGACATATATTTTCCAACTCTTTGATGGATGACTGTTAATGTACAACTAAGTACTAGCTGCCAGTGTCTATTAACACCACTAAAGTTTAGCCTGTAAATTGACAGAATGAAAGAATATCAAGGAAAATCTTACACATTCAGTGTCAAATATGATGCCAGGCAAACTGTGCTATAAGATCCCCTGGTCCTTTCTCTTCTACCCAAAACAGCTCCCTTTCTTTCTCCCATCCGGTTCAACACACCTGGGCCAAAGGACTCTTGAGACAGCAGGAAGTGTCTGGAACAGATCCGGAAACCTTCCAGTTAAAGTTTCTTGTACTGTCCGAGAGCCCCTTTCCCTAGGAAATCCCCTAGTGCTTCAGGTTCATGCTGAGCTATTGTTTTAGAGTTAGATCACCAAATTCCTAGCTTTACAGGGCTATGAGGGTTTAGTCTCGCAGAATGGCTGTGACTACAGCCATCACTCTGGGCTGGTCCAGAGTACGCATCTTGTGAAAATAAAGAAATTTAAAAGTCTAATGGTTTTCATGCTAGGGAAAATGGCAAATTTGCTTCAAATGAAAAAGTAAAGCATAGAAGTAACTCACCCAAGTGCCCAATACTGCAAACTCATATATACATATGAGTTTTATATATATAAGCAAAACAAAGGTTTACTTACATCAAATCTTAAAATACCAGCTCATCACCAAAAATAATTGATTGTAAATACAAAATGATTAAACTACCCTAAACATCATAGATGTTAAAGTAAACCAACATACTGTCTGACCAAAAGGGAAAAAAAGCCCTTTAGGCTCAAAGGGGGAGCAGAGCCCTTTGGAACAGACTGCTCCTTGTTATGGACATTCTGATCTGCTAAGAGTAAAAATAAAACAGGAAGCCAGCAGCTTGGGGAACAAGATTTCCTGTCACCAACAGCAACAGCCCAAGAACCAAGAGAATCAGCTGTTTGCTCATAACTTCGAACCTCCCCGTAACAGTCGTTGTGTGGCAGTTGTGCCTATCTTTGGGGTGCAGAGGTGTTTCCTGAATATTTGTCTACTGTCTAAGGAAATAATTTCCATTCCATTCCTCTGCTAAGTTCCCCTTTGACTCAACAGGTCTTTAAAATGAACTCTGGACTTTCCTTTCCAATTCAACTCTTCTCTTCTTAATGTTAAAAGGTATCAGGTACTAAGATGGGATCTTTAGTAACACACAATGAAAAGAGTTTAGAAGATAAAGTTTAGGACAAGTGAAAGAACCTCACAGAGCTTTGTACACCACCCTCTAGATACACTTATTAGACTCCCCCAAAATTCAAATATTCTGGAAGAAGCAGAAATTCATAGGCATACTCAAAGATGACTAAAAACAGTCATGTCATGGTGACTCCTCCATTAGCAAGCATTTCAGTAGCAGTTGTTCCAGAGTAAAGGAGCCAAATCACCTTGAAATTCTGTGTTGAGGGCCTCCCTGGTGGCACAAAGGGTTACATCTCAGCACTATGAAGCTACCAGCAGCTGTGGCACGAGTTTGATCCCTGCCCATGGAGATTACCCACATGGCACAGCAGACCTCACCTGCCTCTCTTGCTGCTCCCCTCATCACTGTGTTTCAGTTGATCCGTCTGTCCTGCTCTCCACATTGTCTCTGGTGAACCCGTCACTCCTAGCACCTCTGCCTATACCCAGCTCTTGTATGCATAAATAAATAACTCTATTTAAAAAACATTCTGTGTTGAAAGTGTCCTGATGCTCTCTGGACTTCAGATGGCAAGGTAAATGCCGATGGGGGGAGAGAGGTAACGTCTGACACCTTGGCTCTTCAGCACATATGCTTTCCTCAGGTAAGCAGACATAAATGCAGTCAACTCTGTAACCTGGATGGAGTTTATCTGGAACCAAGTTTTTAAGAGCAAGATGGCTTTTTCTTGCCAAAAAAGGTAGCTCCCAAAACTAGCTAGTCACTATTCAAGAAAAAACAGTATGTCAATAGCCAACAAGACAAAGCAATTAGAAAAATAAATCTGCTACTGAAAAAAAAAGGTCACTTAGTTAGTTTCAGAGTGATCAAAGACATGCACGACTCCATTGTATGGAGTTACCTGCATCACTGCGCATTTTCCTTCTAGGTAATCAAGGTTAGCTGTATTCTGCATAAATATGGAACTATGTAGCTCTGACCCACAACAGTAACTTGAGCAAGAACAGAAAATGCCTGTGTTCTGATGAAGACAAACTCCAAACGGGCAAAGACGCTGAGGTTCAGGCTGCAGAGTCACTTCGCCTAGCACCTTGCAAGCTCAGCTGTGTGATCATGGCGACTTTCCAGGAGACATCAAAATAACATAAAATGTCCACTATGGGACTAAAATAGTTATTTGTAGTTCCACAGACTCTAGGCATATCTAGCAACAGAGTTGATTTTTTCCCATTGGTAAATAATTGAAAACACTTTATGGCTATATTATCTAGAACGCAATATTTACATACAGTTAAAGGTGAAACCTTACACTTTAATTTTAATGAAATTTGATGTTTTTTTCCCTGGAGGTAGCTCTCAGCCATGCATCTGGACCTTCTGAACATCCTTTCTCTACTCTTTCATACTGGGTGTCTTATCTGAACCACAGAACAAAGAAAATGATTAGTGATTATTTCCTCAATTTTCCTCAAGACTGTACATATAACTAGCACCATACCAGATGCACTGGAGAAAGTTAATGCATTATATACAATGGATGCCTAATGCCATTAGGGTTTAATTCTCTCAGAAATCCAACTGAGAGAGGCTTCCCTATCATCAGTAGTCATTTAGTGGAAAATTTGGAGCACTGGCTCTTGAGGAACCACTGAATTAAGGAAGTGATATGGTCAAATTTGCATTTTAGACAAATAATTCTAACAGAAGCAAGTTGTAATTGGATAGGATAAAGCTGGAGGTAAGAACACCAGTGGGAAACTCTTCACAGGCGATGAAAGAGACAAGAGAAATGGAGAGGCCATTGCAGCAAGAGCAAATATGAACTGAGAACACAGAGACAGGTTACAGGGGTGAGTCCAGTCCTTCAGCCCTCTTTGCTGCTTTTTTGATAGTTCTGTAAGTTTTACTCAAAATGACAAAATGTGTTTTCCTTACTAAGACTATCAAATGAGCTAAATCCTAGTGCCAGTGACAGAAATTAAAGAAAGTGAAGAAGAAATAAGAAAGTAGTAGTTCTCAGCTGAAAAGTAGTTTTAGATTCATGAAAAGTAGAATGCACACTGTCTTTATAAAACACTAAAGTTCTGGGCCTCCCTGGTGGCACAATGGGCTAAAGCGCAGCAGTATGAAGCTCTCCTCCTCTCCTCAGCCACTGCGGCACAAGGATTATGGAATATTTACATACTGCATTTGTTCACTGTAAAGTCAGATGACTTTGACATCTACCCTATACTCTGAATTCCCACAGCTCTGAGTCTAATCGCCTGGGCAGGACTGGTTTGAGGGGAGAACAGGGACTAGGAGCATGGAAGAAGGCATCAAACTGAGCATGAAGAGGATGCGCTCATCTGTACCCCAGTTCTCACCAGGACAGAAGACTGTTCATTCGGGCAATGATGTTTATTACTAGCTGTTACTTATAAATTAATAAATAGTGCTTCATTTACAGTCCAAGTCATTGGTAACACCTGAAGATTTCTACAGTCACATCCAAAAGTAAGTGCATCTGAGCTCTATCAATGACCATAACAACAGAAATGCTTCTCAAGTTAGTTCCTCTTTGAAACAACCCCCCAAAATGTTGATCAGCAGAAGTAGGGAATGAGAACATATGGGGATGTTGTATGTGTAGCAATTAGGACTTCTGCTTTCACTTCACCATTTCCCACTGTTCTATAGTTAACAACACTTTGGATAGGGGTGTATAAGTGCTTTACTTTGTAGACCAGTTTCCTCTTTTAAGATATTAACTTCTTTATGTGAAAGAATATGCATTCTACAGAGGTTCACAAGCTTCAACTGAAAAGTTAATCATTTGACTTCAAAATTAGAGACAACATAAAGGCTTACTGAAATCTAGGTCTGTCTAGTAAAATGTTCAAGAAGTATGGATGCAATGTCTTCATCACTGACATGCAACAACCACAACTAGGGATACCTCACTATGGACTAAGGAGCCACCCACTTCCTGTTGAAATACAGGATGAGGCTGGGTATATGAATATACCCAGACTCTCTCCAAACACAAGGAGAGAGTCAGTTTAGTTCACTAGAGTAATATCCAAAAGAGCTAGCAAGACAGAAAAGGAGTTCCTAGTGTCCACAGTGAAAGTGCTGACTTGGGGAGAACAAGAGGGAATATTTACAAAATTTACAATATTTACAAAATTACAAGAGGGAATATTTACAAAATTCCTAATTTCATAAAGGAATGACACAAGCTATGGATTCATAGTCAATAAAATGTGGCTTCTTCTTGACCCAATTTGGTTTTGGAGAAAACAGTCTAACCTCTACTATCTTACACCTGGAGTACACCAGCCATCCATCTAGGACCATTCACATCTA